TAAAATTTCATAATCAAATCAAATAATCAAATTCTTTAGTAACTTTTCCTGGATGGCTATTTGTAAGTTACTGTGTTTTGTTTTTCTGTCTTATCAGGTCCTTTGTTTCCTACACAATGAGTGTAATTGCTGTTAATTTTGTTGTACCCTTAACAGTCATGTTTTACTGTTATTACAATGTTTCCCGGACAATGAAACAATATGCCAGCAGTAACTGCCTGGAGAGCATCAACGTAGATTGGTCTGACCAAGTAGATGTGACAAAGGTATGGTAAATGAGAGCATGTTTTGTTTTAAGCATGTTCTTTTGTGTTGAAGTCTTGGGGGCAAAGGAACAGCGCAGCCTTTTAAGCATTTCTGTTTCCTTTCATATTAAATATTAACTGGAATTTAGCCTTGGTATAACACTAGATTCTTTACTTTTGGCTTAATACTCTTTCCAGATAAATAGCTGCTTTGAAGGCTGGGAACAACGTGAATTTTCCTTGCCTGTGCCGTCTGTCATTACACGGAAGTGTACCTCCGAGGTGTCCTCGGAGGACTTTTACTCTTCATGTCTGCAGAGTCCTTAGGCTTTCTGCTAGGTTCACAGGTGTATCTGGACTGAAATGGGTTGGTCAACTCTGATTTGAATTCACGGCCTAGAAATGAAAGTGCATTTCCAAGCTCCTGATCTGTGTGACTCTGATCCCTTGTTCCTTTCAGTGTATTGGGCTTACCTCTTTCTTACATAAACAGTAGCAAATGTGAGTTATGGCATAAAATGATATATCCTGCCTAGAAGGTTGACATTCATTTAACATACAAAAGTCCTCGAGAAAGCTTGAAGTTTACCAGCTCCTTCGATTTTGTGTAAAGATATGATTTATCCTTGCGCATGATTAAAAAAGTGAGAGACAATTGGACAGAGTCTGTACCTATGCTTTTGAAATACTTATCAATGCAAACTTAACATTCCTTGGAAAACTTTCTCGTTGCTAAATTCTGAAAAATCGTATTTTTACCTAAAAAAAATAGTTGGAGCATTTTGCTCTTCTGAAGAAATTTCAGAATGCTTGAAACTGAGGATTCAGTTATAAATTTAGACTCATTTTTGTGAAGACAATGCATTTTTCCTGATTTGTCATTGAAGACACCGAGTTTTATTTTTTAAAAAAGAAAGGAAAAACAAAGGTTGAAGCTTTGGAGTTAAGCAGTATCCTTCTTTAGAACTGGAATGCTTGCTTTTTCACAGATTAGCATCTTCTAAGCTTTCTACACACCTAACAAGCTTGTAAATGAAAGAGTTCTTTACATTATTATCAATAGGTATTGCATTTGTATTTAAGTAGGAATCTTCTGTGGAGAGGGTCACTGCTTGTTTATTGGTTATGCTCTAGAACAGCTCATACAAAGTAGTCATTTACTTCTTGTTTCTCATTTTGTTCATCACTGGAAGACTGAGTACAGGTATGGGTAAACAAGGTAAATAAGGAATCCTGTACGTACAAAGAACCCTGCAGGGTTTTTTGGTTTTCTAGTGGTTTGTTTTGTCCTCTTGATTAATTTGAGATTTGCTTTACCGAGTCTTCTCCCTGACAAAAGCCAGAAAAGTTTGTCCTAGTTGATTCATCTCCTACCCTCCCACTACCCCCAGTTTGTTGCTGTTCAGTTCTGCCTGTGGCGTGGTGTGTTCTGGGGTGTGAGCCCAAACATGCCCAGACTGTTCTCTCTGAATGACATGACTGCTCAGATATCTCCTCAGTATGATGCTTGAACATGGCTGTCATGCTTCATTAAACCAAGCAGGCACTTCTGGTTTCCTTAAGTATATGGACTGAGCCTTTGTGTCCTAGAACATTCACTTTCTTTTACTTAAGTGTACCATATTTAAGCCTTATGAAATGTTTTTATTAACAGCCTTATTAAATGTTTGACTTAGATTTTTCTCTCTTATCATATTTATTGTTTGTAATAGCATCCCAGAGTGACCTGATATGGTGGTCATCATCCATGTGTGAAGTCCTTTCTGACCATTTAAACTTCTGACGGGTAGATTTAACATAATCAGTAGTGCTGACTGTGAAGGAAAATTGTACATAATGAAATAACAGCATGCCAGAATACATGGCAATGCGATGTGCTATTAAATCCCCAAAGCGAGATTTCATTACAACCAGTCAAAATTTGTCACGTGTGCTTGTTTACATGTTGTTACTTGGTTCTGGATAGCTCTATTTTCACACAGGTGCGTGTGCCTTTGAGGTTAGGTGGTGAGTTCTTCATCTTCAGGTAATACTGGTTATGTGTCTGTTCCTCTTGTTTTACAGATGTCTGTTGTGATGATTGTAATGTTCTTGGTGGCATGGTCTCCATATTCTATTGTGTGTTTATGGTCTTCCTTTGGAGACCCAAAGAAAATTTCTCCTGCAATGGCCATCATAGCTCCTCTATTTGCAAAATCTTCCACATTCTATAATCCCTGCATTTACGTTGTTGCAAACAAAAAGTAAGTGTTCCTAATTCAATACTGGTCTACTTCATGATTTTAGCATATCATCTAACTATAGAAGCGTCATCTGTAAAATATGACAAACTGATTAGTGAAGAAATCAAAGGGTAAGCCACCGTTGATTTACCAAAGATGGCCTTTTGGACGGGAACGTCTAAAAGAAATTTTGATCATCATCAGAACATACCGAATTGATAAAGATTTTTGAGAACAGATTAATGAAGCTTTTGTAAGACAGTTTTGGAAGTCCCTTTGTGGTTTCTCAAAGGGACTTACTATGGAATTTGGGCTGCATCAGCAGTACACTGGTTTTAATGACTGTGGCCAAAATGTGTGGTGGCTTAGTGGCATGTAACTTCTGTAGATTTCCTTCCTTGATTTGGGATGTGTCGTATTTTGACTGATAAGGACAGATTGACACTTTTTATTAAAGTAAATAAACTAAGCCTATTCTTCTCTTTTGAGCAAGCGTATCAAACGCTCTCACCAAGCCAGTGCCTCTGACTGAGAACTGGGCTTTGCAATGAGGCATCCTTCCTTTTTCTACTACCAACCTAGGTGCAGAGCCTGTGATCTCTGTCTAGGTGAACTTATCTGATCCTGCTGAGTCAATGAAAAACAATCAAGTTTTTTCCCCATTCTGTAAGTTCATCTTTGTTGTGGCTATACTCTGTCCTTGGATGAGCAAAAGTTGCTGTGACCCCTTGTCGTAGAAGAAACACTGAACTTAACTGAGTTATTCCTGTACATGGAAGTGAAAAAGACTCAGGTCCTTTTGAATTGCAAATACACCATTTTTTATTAAGTAAGTTTTACTAAAATTGAAAGCTGTTTTAATACTTAAGGCCGGTTTACCCAGTTTTGATTTGTATGTTGTTCTCCAGCTAATGATCTTTCTGCTTTCACTTTCTTGTCCTTTGCAGGTTTCGGAGGGCGATCCTGGCAATGGTGCGATGTCAGACAAGACAAGAGATAACTATAAGCAATGCCTTGCCCATGAGTGTATCTCAAAGTGCACTGACATCGTAGAACTCATGTCATTTGCCTTGGAAAGGAGTGAAGTCTGGGTTAAAGTTAATTGACCTTTTGGAAGATTAATCTTTTTGGCATAATAAACTGCCCCATCCAGCCAGCTGTTTTCTGTTAATCACAGTAATCTTTTTAGACAGGTTAAGAAGACAAGACAAAAACGACTAAGACTTTAGTTCTCGAGAGTGAGGTTCATTGGCGCAATATATCTGTCCCAAACAAAAAAGGCCAGTGAAGTGGTCACTGTGACTCTTACAGGGTTGGACAAGGTGACACAGGGGCAGGGAGAGACTGAAGCAGGAGGTGCTTAGGTTCAGTTACATAGATTTTGCACCTGTAATTCCTTTCATGAATTACTTTCCCTCAGCTTCCCTTGACAGTTTTCCAGACTTGAAATATTCTGGGTTCTTCCTGTGTGAATTTATTTCTATACCGAGTGTCCTTGTTGATATGCTTTGCAAAGTTCTGTTTCTGTGAGTATGTTAAGATACCAAACTATCTAGCTAAACCCTACAGAACCTGCTATCAGCTTTCCAGATTTTGAAGGAGTTTTAGGATAGATAATGTATTTTTAAAGTTTTGGCTCACACAACCAAATGAATTTGTAGGAAAGACAGGTTTTGTTTTAGTAGTAGTACATTTCTAGTGCTTGTGACAGCACAGCAAATCATGAAAATGAGGCAAAATGCACCCTAAGACTTGAGGAGGCACATAAAACTGAGTGAATATTTATTTCTCATAATTTCTAAGTCAATCTCATGGTTACATAGGTCTGTTGTGTAATTTTCAAAAAATACTTTTGGCAATGTGAGCAATGGATGGAAAAGATGACTGTATAGATCTATTTATGAATAGTAGTATATGCACTCTTGATTCTCAGATTTTGAGAATAAATATCTTCTATTATTATGTATGCATACATCTGAAGTTTGGCTTTGCAGTATGTAACTTATTTAAAAGATGTGTTGTTTTGGTGAAAACCTGTTTTTACAGGATTTTTTTTTAAAAGCTCTGTAATCTACGCTTCCTATTAATTTATAATTTTTAGTATTAAAGAAAATGCTGTGCAATATCCTCATGCTCTACTAGATTTTCTTCAGGAACCTTGGAACACTTTATGGACAGTAACTAATGCATTGTCTCTTAGAAGGGGCAAAGAAATATTCTTATTAGGTACTAACCTTACAAGCTACATATTAAAATAGCCTTGAAACATGCTGGATATGATTTGAAACAGAGTGTGTTCTTCTGACAGAATAAAGAATGAGCTGGTTTAACTGATCCCTTTCAGGACACATTTGAAGGTTAAGCAACTACAGATCTCGGCTAATCTCGTGTAATCTGCTGTTACTAAATGGATGTCTATGTTCACATTCGTAGCACACTGCACATGAGTGCCTAGGAATAAAGTTTTCAAATTTTTTCATATTAGTTCTGCTGGGAGGAAGCCATGTATCTGCTTGTTTACTTCTACCTCCTAATGAGCTTTTTTGAAGAAGTGCATGGTTTTTGTCCTTCACAATGCACTTGTGTTTACCATGGCAGAAGTGATGGCACTGGAACAAGGTATATGTTTTATTATTTGTTATACAAGGCAATTTATAGGGAAAAGGGTTAAAGAAACTGGAAATAACATACATTGCAAATTAGTTCTAGCGTAGTTAAAATAAAGGCATTTTTTACACTCGTGTTATATGACTAGCAGCATTCCTGAGTAGGAGCAGATGGTGATTATGGCTTTGTACTTAACAAATAGCTACTCTGAATCTTCAGTTTCTGCAGAAAGCAATTTCTTTCTGCTCCACGATTTTCCTACTATTGTAACGTACTTTCTATTTCTACAAACTAGTTGCCTACTGTAAGGTGATTCTGGTTTAAATAAATACAGTATTTTCTTCTTCTTTTTATCTGTAGGAAAATAGTATCATTTTGGGGAATAAAGAGGTTAATTTGAAATTTGATGATCTGGGTATTGTCAATTTTGGGAGATACTGTTTGTCATTGCTACTTGTTGTCACAACATATCTAGTATAAAGCTTGCATAAGGAGAAAGTAAAACAGAGGAAGAATATAGAGAAAAGGGGACAAAATTAAAGATAGGCTTATTGAGGGGAGGGGAATCTTCAAGCTAATACAGGGCGTTTCTGTGTAGACACCAGAAAGAGGGCTAGAAAGCTCTCCTTTAGAGAAATATGCTAATGTTTTAAATTTTCTGAAAAGTAAATCTAGGCAAATACTTCGAATCTTCATCATGCAGAAAAATCAGAAATTAGTAATTCAATACTCTGAATTTTAGTAAAACACACGGCATGCAGTTCTCACTTGATACATTCATGTATTATTCCTTATACAATGGCTTCTGTTTTTTAGCTGTCAGTAGAATGATGGACAGAAAATGGTGCTTTCATGCTTTAGAATAAAGCAAATCTATTTTTTATGTGAAAGTATCATTGCTACTTTGTATTCTTTTTCGCTTTAGAAACTCCACATTTGTCTTTCCAATTTTTAAATGCAGAGGACTGTTCTTGATTTGATGTTATTTATTCTGCTAGTAGTGTTGCAGAAAGTAAGAACATTTGCATTTAAATCTGAAATACAAATTTCTGATAAAGAAATGCTGGTATTTCTCTCCTTTATTTGATGCTAGGTCCGTGCTCTGTAATGATCCTGACATGTATGAGATCCCTGTGAATGTTCCTGTGGATACTGTAAAACTTCGTATAGAGAAAACTGTCATACGAAGGCTTCCAACTGAAGCCTTTTACTACCTGGTAGATCTCAAATACCTGTGGGTAACTTACAACTGTGTAGCCAACATTGATATCAGCAGTTTCTATAACTTGAAACAACTGCATGAGCTACGCCTGGACGGTAATCTGCTCTCCACTTTCCCTTGGGAATCGCTGGCAGAGATGCCCAACCTACGGACTCTTGACTTGCACAACAATAAAGTCACCAGCATTCCCGCTGATGCTGGCCGGACGCTGACTGATGCTGGCCGGTACCTGAGAACCCTCACCTACCTGGACATATCCAGCAACAAGCTAACCACCTTGCCATCAGACTTGATGGACATTTGGCCCCCCTTCTCAGAAGCTGTCCTGTCCAAGAACGCGGACATTCTGGCGACCCAGAGAGTCATTTTGGGTATGTTAAACAGCCTGTCTCATTCCTTATTAAAATGTACCTAATTGTTAAGTTGCAAGTGAGAGCAGGTAGGGGACCAGCCTGGGATTCAGGAGAGTGGCTTTTATACAGGTCAGTCTTCTGGTTTGCTCTGCTATTATTCATTTATTTATTTTCTGTTGGTGACAGAAAACCATCAAATGAAGATAGTGATCTCCATGTATGTTGTTATCTCAAGGTTATAAAACTGAAATAAAATCTATGAGATTCCAACAGGAGTACAGGCCTTGTGGAGTATTTAGTACCCATATAAATGCAGGACTTCCGAAAATTGTGTTTCTGATTACATTTCCCTCATCACTGTATGTGGGTGCAACTGTGTGCATATCCATTTGAAAATTTTTTTCCCAGTGTCTCACAAGCCAAACAAGTAGCTAGAGTTGATGCTCATGTGATGCCTGTCCTGAGACACAGTGCTGCAGATAGTGTTGGTGGCTCAAGAGAGGGCAACTCTGCTCTTTCCATGACTCCTGTTGACCTTGTGTTGCTCTAAAGTTGACTGATTATCCTGAAGTTTTTCCCAATTTACATGTTGAATATGAGAGAGAGAATAGGATTCTGATCCCTACAACTTCACAGTACTTTATGTAGTATTTAAGGTGAATATTTAAGAATAGCTTGGTCAGACTCTGATTTTTTATTTTCATAATTTTATTCCGTATCTGTAGTATACCATCACATCAGTTCTGTGTGTGGCTTTGTGCTTTATCTTATGCTTTCTCTCCATTTCCTGGTCTTGCAGGTCACCCCTTTCTCTTCTGCAATCTCAGAACATGGCTGGAACAGCTCTGTCAATAGTGTTCTGTTCTGTCACTGTTTATGTATAAGTGCATGTTTTGATGTTTTTTAGTGTAGTGTAGCAGGTGGAAGGGAGGAGAAAGAACTAGCTGGAGCTGGAGCTCTCTACTGCAGTAGTTCTATACCACTGGTAAAGATCTGCCCTGCATTGTACTGCCCAGTATTTCCAATTTCTTGATCTAAGCCCCAACTATTCGGCTTTCATTTGTCAACTGCTTTCTTTCACAGCAGAAGCTGCAATTTGAAACTCACGCTCAGGTGAGACTGTATGTAAGTAACTGAATAGATGCAAGTAGGCTGAACGAGTTCCTCACATGCATGGTAACTGTAGGTTTGCAGCATTAATAGGATCTTCGTTTATTCAGGGTTCGGGGGGGGGGGGGGGGAAAAAAAAAAAAAAAACTGTAAAAGAAAGCCCGGCCCAGTGGGGTGGGGGGGGGGGGGGGAGGGGAAAAAAAAAAGAAAAAGCTGTAAAAGTAAGCCCGGCTCAGTATCCCTTTCCCTGTCACACTGAAGGCTACGGGAGGCAGTAGAGTAGGAGCTGACTGTGCAAGATCTAATCCTCCCGATGATCTCATGTGGGAGTCCCAGAGCTGATTTGGTTTCCTTGTCTAACATAGCCCTCACCACTTAAAAACCCAAACCAACCAAACAAACAAAACCCCCCAAAACAAACACCAAAAAACCCTAAAACCACACACACTTTTTTCTCCTTCCCTTCCCCCTGGCACCCATCTGCAGGCTTTGCTGGTGCAGGCACTTGGCCAGCCTCCTCCTAGTCCTGGCAAACCCTCTGGTGCCAGCATTGAGTCCTCTAGAGACTTGGGATGTGACCTTCAGATCATTTTCATTTATGAACTACAGCTGGGTTTGAACACAGATCTCCAGAGGGGAACACATAATTGGGTTCAAACAGTGCCTTGCTTCTCTTTTTTTAACGTTACATGCTGAGGGAGGTTCTGCGCACTCGTTATAGATTTGGATCTGAGAAGGCAAAATGCTAGGTAGTACTTTCATTGTGTTGTGTTCAGTAAATCTACTTTAGGTAAACTGTGAATAATTAGCTGAATTTTCTTTCATTGACATCGTAGCCTTCTGATGAGTATATCCCAGTGCAGCAGACAGTGCTTGCTATATGAGAAACTCTATAGCGAATAAGAAAACATCCCCTTCCTCTGGAGATTAAAAAGCGCAGTGCTCTTTATGTCACGGGTTATTTTGACAAGCTTACTCAGTCTCCACTAAGTGTTAGTTTTATTATCTATATTACTGGAGCTTGAAGTTGTAGTTACGCCACTCTCACTCGCTGCCAGAGGCTCATCCTTAGGTTGCTGCTGACGGACTGCTACCAAGCAGTTGTTTTTCAGGAATGAACGGCTGGTAGCAACTATCAGGCTAGAAAGATGACCTAGGAGTTGAGATCTCTCTATAATGTTCCAGCCATAGGAGGTGTTGGCTTAGAACGACAGGAGCAAGATGTGCTCTGTGGCATTGCTTCCTCTCTGACACCCCTCCGGTCTCTACCAGGATTGCTGGAGCCTGAGCGGGGAGAAACTTATCCCACAGATACTCTCCTCCCGCTCTGAGGCGGAGATAAGGACCACAGAGGTGTGTGATCAGGAAGGATTTAAAAAACGCCTCTAGCCTGCTGGGGTGCAGCTCCAGATGAACTGAACCGTTCTGGTTGAATTAGTGCCGTCCTTAAAGCCTGCAGCCAGACCATTCCAGAGCCTTCTCGGGTAACCTCTTCCAGTGCTTATCTGTCAGGATAGTGAGAAAGTTTCTCTTAATACCTAACCTCAATCTCCCTTACTGCAAACTAAGCTGATTACCTCTTGTCCTACATGAGATGGACACACAGAAAAACTAATTACCATCTCTAATGCTAACCTTTCATACATATTCCTTCTCTGTTTGCCACCTTAAATAATCATACCATTTCTTTCACCAGTTTCTTATAGACTCTGAGGGTTGGTTTTTTTTCCCCATTTTCTACCATAATTACGTGTTCCCTTTGGACTCTTTAGGGTTTTTTAAAAAAAAAAAGGTTTCTCTTAAAATATGGTGCCCACAATTGCATGCTTTGATGCTCAAGGACACCCTATGTGCTCCAGCTGTTCTCTGTGGGAGCGTGCGGCATGACCTATGTGCCTGTATGGAATGGTAACTGCAGCCAGAGCTCTGCTAGAAGCTGAACCCAGAGCAAATAAATGCTGTTTTTGTCTAGTTGGGAAAACAGCAGCCAGATTCTTAGTGTAAGCAATTATGGCTTGAGCTGGCTACTCTCCTAGTTCTGGCAAAACAAGATTGTCACTTGTATTTAATTAACAAGATCAACAACAGCAAAGCCCCAAACTCAAAAGTTTGTGCATATGTATTTTTTAAAATCAGGAGGCAATTTTAGCTTCAGTGTCTTGACTGAGCATCAAGAAGGTTGCATGTAAGAAGTTCAGGTTCCCTGTGTTTACTTCAAGGACTCTTGGAGGAGCCACAGACTACTTTTGTCAGGGGACTGGCAGGTTAGCATCTCCTTATTCCAATTTATAATCTCTGTACTTAGGGGTTTGGAGTTTTTAATTACTCCCCACTGTATGGTGTTCCCCTGTGGGGACACTGTGGTAAAGATAAGAGGGTCAGGAGTGATTCCTGGCCCTATGGCCAAGTGGCTCACTGGCTCTCAAGCACACAGTTTAGGACCAGCTCTCTTTAAAGCTGACTGTTTGTTCCACGCTTTGTAAGATTTAGCCCTTGGTTTTATGTGGGCTCTATGGGATACTGCAGCGACTCTAAAATGTAACTGTCTGGGTGGGGGTGTTTTTTCTTCAGTTTGGACTGCCTGAAGTAATGTGAGAATTGCATTGCAACCCTTAGAATTGTGCTTTTGTAGTATAACGTAGCAAGGGTGTGTTGTATGCCTGATGGGCTGATAGGCACGCAGAATAGTTTGGAGGTGCAAAGCCTGCTGTCCTTATGCTGGGGGCAAGAACAGGGTAGAGAGAGCCGTCCTTGGTGTGGTCTCATCCGTAAGCCTTCTGGGGAGGAATCCCTGGAGTGCGAACTGTCCCTGGAGCCACGTCTGGCTTTTGTCTTGGAGAGTGCCTTCTGGAACAGTTCAAAACAAAGCTGTGGAGTGAGCTGGCAATTACGCAGTGGGAATGATTGGGGGCCCAGCGTGTGAGTTCATCGGGTCCTCTCTTGGTTACCTCTGGAGCTATAGCCTAGTACTTTGATCCAAATCGCAGATAAGTTTCAGCACTGGCTGAAACAGATTGAAATTTCTGGTGTGAATGATGGCAGGAGCATTTTCCATATGGAAAATTACATGTAGTGAGTCACTGAGAGGAACAGAGGAATCCAGGATTCGATAGAGTGGCAGTTAGATGAGATCTTGCCTCTGTTGCACTTAGAGGTGCCAAAAATCTGGAATGCTGCAGGTCCATCAGGCTCCCAGCTGTTATGCTGGCCCATTGGGTAGATGCTGCTTTTCCTGAAACTAGTCCCTAGCAGTTATTGTCCGTAGGAAACACAGGGGCACAGTGTGGGAAATGGGCTTTGCTGTTTAGAACCATGGATCAAAAATTTTGTAGCTTCATTTGGAAGAGAGCCTTGGGTAGGTTGGCCCAAGCTGTGGTGAATATTTCCATCAGCCCAAAACTTGAATGTTTCGCATACCGCCATTTTACAGCAACTGAGAAGCAGTATATTATACAAGTTATGGACTGAGACCGGTTACTGATTTACAAAGGAAATTATGCTCATAGCTATTTTGAATGCTGAAGTCCATATTGACACAGCATGGGGAAACCCTGCTTACTGAGAGGAACTGCAAAAATGTGCATGCACAGGCAGACATATACGTATATTTCCTGTTGTACGTGCAAGCACACATATAAATGTGTGAGAGTAAATTTTAAATATGCTAAAACTGGGTTAAAAAAAGAGTTTTAGAGCAATTTATAATATATATTTAATGTTAAAATACATTGCTTTAGTATATTGCAATGCATAAATATTTATCAACGTTTATTTTGCCTTGGTTAGTATTTTTTTCTCAGGTCAACAAGCTGCCTTAATATTTCTACAAAAGAATCCAGGGTTTCTAAAGACTTGGTGTTCCATCAGATGCACATGCCATTGGAAACTTATCATTATTTTTATTTTCTCTTCTTAGGAAGTTATTTTCCTGAGAGGATTCTATCTCATTCCTTTAATTAAAGCTCTCCATTTTTTCCAGTTTATTAATTTTTCCCCCTTTTTTTTTTAACCTTTTCTTTATTCTTTCATGTGTGTGTTCTCACGTTTGCCATCTTGTAAACACAAGCTGTTAAATTTCAGAATGCCTTTTGTAGTTTGGAAACTAGGTTTACATTCCCATTTCTGTCCTCTTCAATAGCTGACTGGTGTATAATAGAATTCAGCGTTTTATCCTTGCTTCCAACTCAATAACGCTTTCATCTTTTCATTTTGGGAATTCATGAGACTTGATGACTTACAATGGCTGCGCAAGTTTACTAAAATAATGTGAATACTGTCAGATATTGGGAAGACACAGATAAATAGAAGGGACCAGCTGTGGGGGCAAGGAAGGAACTCCTGTAGCTGTATATATTATATGTATTTATATAAATCCTGATTCTTTAGCCAGTTCCACTGGGAAGCATGATGGATGCAGGAGATGAGATAATTCTTTCTTTGCACTAAAACACAGAAGTACAGAGTCTTCTGGGACTACAGCTTTCTTCTGAAGCTGAAACCAGGCATTCAGAATGATCTGAGATGGTCAAACCTGTGTCCCAGACTGGACTAAACAACGATCCAATCTAAGGACTATCCATTTTGCTTCATCATTCCTTCTATTTTGTTAACTTCTGATACTCTAACAACGCTGGGTCTTCTTTGAGACACTGGGAAAATATGAAAGCCATGTATTTATATATAGTAGGAAAAATTTCTTCACCAAAGGAATTGTCAGGCACTGTAACAGGCTGCCCAGGGAAGTGGTTGAGTCCATCCCTGGAGGTATTTAAAAGACATGTAGACGTGCACTTAGGGACATGGTTTAGTGGTGGACTTGGCAGTGTTAGGTTTACGGTTGGCCTCGATGGTCTTAAAGGTCTTTTCCAACCTAAATGATGCTATGATTCTGTTTGAAAGGCCTTTGAGCACTGCTAGTAGTATTAGAAACAATAATAAAACCCATCCTTTCCTGCAGTAAAGTTTGTAGGATGCAGAAAGGTCGCAGAAGACATATTTTCAGTAGTGTCCAACGTAAGGGAGAACGTGCTGCCTGAGGTATGAGGGATGGGAGCCCTACCAATGCTTCAAACCTGTCCTGATTAATGCTGTGGACCCAGAGTTCCCTCCCTGCCTGCTGCAGCACAGCTGCCCCACGCTTCTGTCCTCTAGATAGGACAGAGGCCATGCTGGGAGTGCACGTGCATTTTAGCAGCATTTGTTGCAGAGGAACTCTGGCAGTTGAGGCCGTGTTTCAAGGGGATCCCGTCTTCTCTCTTATACCTTAGGGGAATTTAATTTTCAGATGCTCATATAGTCTCTTTCTTAACATAGTGAGGAAAATTGACCCCTTATAAGCAAGTGAGAATGAAAAAAAAAAAAAATTACAAGAATATTGTCTCTAACCCTCTCTAACTACAAACTAAAGCTTGCCTAACTTAAAAGATGAACGCAAATAGTTACATACATGTGCTTCATTGGGCAGAATTTTTATGAGCACAAACAGTTGATGTGCCTAGACATATGGAAAACATTCATGTGGTATCTCTTTTGCTTGTGAAATATGTGTGAAGTTCACAGGCAAAATTTTTATCCTTTGGAGTGTGTTTTGTGTTTTTTTTTTTTTAAAGAAAAGCATTTGCCAATACAATTTCTTTGGTTACTCCTTCTCCATTCAAGCTGGCAATAAGTAGTGAATAGATATAAAATCTCTTATGTCTGGAAGGAGTCAAATTGGATTGTGATGTCAAAGTCATGGAATCTCTTCAGGTCAAGTCTTGTTTTAAAGAGCGGGGATTAATTGGGGTTTACCACAGTTTTAACCAATGACTGCCATTGTGCTTAAAATAACCTAATCTTGGTCAGGCGATAAGAGGAAGCAGTAGTTAATTATTCATGAATTCTTTCATCTACAAGTTTCTTCCAGAACAAAAAGCAGAATTTTTCCACTAGCTGTTTGGGTAATTCCTAAAAATACACACTGAACAATATTAGCAGGTGTTTCAGTTTTTTTTTTTCTTTTAATTTTGGTTTAATTAATATGACTTGTCTGTTGCACTAATCAGTAAATTCAGTTGCGAGAGGTTCTTGCATACCATCCCTTGTTTCAGACTGTAAATTCTGTTTATTGTTAATACTAGAAAAAAATGTAAAAGGTATGCCCAGAAGTATAAGTCAAATGAGAAAGTATTTGAACTCATGAGTGATACGCTGTGTGGGGTTTACCTGGTGAAGCTGCTGTTGCTCTATGAAGGTCAACATATCAGAGTAATCAGTACCAGCTGAGGTTTTAGACTTCTATTCCTCAGAAATGGCTACTCTCTTTTACCATAATAAGCTCACCAAGAGGGAGAAGCCTCTCATTCAAAGACTTTGGAATCAAGAAGCAAATGTTACAGCCTCTGACAGAAGGGGACAGATAGCGTTCTTGTGTGCCAGCATAAAAAAAATTGTAGTCATCGGCTTTTTTCAGGGTCCTTCCCCTTTTCTACTCTTCTGCTATTCTTTTTGAATGTATTTCAGAGGTTATCTGAAATTGAAGCCAGATTTCGAATAATATTGGTATAGTTCAGAGCCAGATAAGAATTTTATTGGCCTAAAGCTCCGTTTCCATAGCCTTTATCCTTTTTTCAAGGGGCAGAGATGTTGGTGTAAGCTCTAAACCCTTAAATCATCATGTTCTCTGCAAGCATCGAAAAAAGGGTCTGAGAAGATCAAATTGTAAGAGCCCAAAGAAGGCCTAAGCGCAGAGAAGGGTGACAGGATGCAATAGCCCTGAAAAGCTATCTTTCCAGAAGGCACAGGCAAGTGAAAATGTATCATCCGTCTTAAGACATCTTTTCAAAGTGTTTTTGCCTAGATAAATAGCAAAGTTAAGGAAAGGTAATGCCAGTATATTACTACGCTACTGTATACTTCTGTGAAGAAAAAGTTTAACTTAATAAACATTCATACTGTTCTTCCTCACCTCTGCAAAAACTCCCCCACCAACCAGCTGAACAAAAAAGACATATTGAAAGAGAAAAGATTAACTCAGAGTAGGTCCATGGTTCTCCTTGATTGTACTTGGTGGTAGTCATGTGTCATACTTTAATCACAATATCCATATTTTGCCTGACAACATTATTGTTTTGGGTTTTTTTCTTTCCCCTCTTCCCTCCCTGCTTTAGGTTTGCAGGACAACCCATGGTTTTGTGACTGTCGCATTTCAAAGCTAATAGAATTTTCCAAAATTGTGGACAATTCAGTTGTACTTCTTGATCCATTGCTTTCATGTAGTGGACCTGAGAGCCTGGCAGGAATCTTGTTCCAGAGAGCTGAGTTAGAGCAGTGTCTTAAACCGTCCGTGATGACATCGGCGACAAAAATCACTTCACCGCTGGGAAGCAACGTTTTGCTACGCTGTGATGCAACTGGGTACCCAACACCGCAGCTTACTTGGACTAGGTCAGACAATATACCAGTGAACTATACAGGTATAATTGCTCTTTTATAGGAAATGGGAGAGCCTGAAATTGTTGGGTTGCTTGTGCTTTGAGATCATTGTAACGAGTAAAGATGGACCAGGTATTGCACCAAACTGGCAATTGTTTCTGTGCAACAGCTGTTGTGAAATGCTTTGTCTAGGACTTGGTCTGAACAGGTCCAACAGACTGTTCTGATTCTGGATGTGGTCTGTAATAAGAACAATGTGCGTGTAGGGGGAAAATGGATGGAGTGGGGGAAGGATAAAGGAAAATGGAGGTTGGGATATTTGGGCCCTCAATCAGAAGCTGAAAAGCAGAATTCGTTACTGGAATCTCTGTTTTGGTTCAAAATGTTTATGTCAAAAAAGCTAGTGAGGCCATAACCGAGCCGCTTAAAACTCAACATTGTAAACAGGATTTTCCAAAATCATGTGTTCTATGTGGTTTGTAAATATTTATTGTTTATTTGCAACACCCATCTTGAATGGTAAAGAGGCTGTGGTTGTCTGATATCATTCTAGCTGCTATGATAGATATTTATGCAGTAACTTAAATGTAAAAATTGTTTCTTGCTAATGCCAAGTAGTTAGTGGTTCTCTTAAATCACAGGTCTGAAGAAGGTAATAGTCCAAAGCACTGAAATATCTTAAGACAAAGGTAGTTTCCAAAAAATGTTTTAAATGGCTAGTGTGTTCAGTGTCACTTGAAATTAGTGAAACTTGTATTTCCTAGTCACTTAGCAGCTTTAAGACATTTGATTTATCTTTATGTGGTTTTGTTTTACTTAGTGAAACTGCAAATTATATTGTAATTCCTCTAGACATTCCATTCCATTTTGACTCAAGCTGAGCACTTTTCTGCAATAAAGTAGAAAGGAAGGGAGATCCACAGTTTGTGTGCGGGATTTGGTGGTTTGGTTTTTTTGGGTTTTTTGTTTGTTTGTTTGTTTTTGAGGGGGAGTGGGGGTTTTGGTTTTGGGTTTGTCTTTTTTTAAAGTTTAATACATATGATTCCTTCTGGTAGAAATAACTTAAGGGAGGAAGTAGTCTAATAGTGTTTCTCTTTAGCTCCCTTTTGTAATGTTTTACTCTTTGCATTTTCTTGTAGTTATTCAAGAAACACCTGGAGAGGGTGTCAGATGGTCCATAATAAGCTTGACAGGGATTTCATACAAGGATGCAGGAGAATACAGATGTAAAGCCAAGAACTTAGCGGGAATGTCAGAAGCTGCTGTTACAGTCACGGTGGTTGGTGTAGTTACTACAACGGTATCACCACAGAAGTATGGAAGGAAGCAAGAGGCAGAGAGGCAGAATACCACTGGGGAGGAATCCAAGCAGGAACCTGAGAGGACAACCACACCTCTTCCCACCACACCAACCAGCACAGCGCCGGTTAGCACTGAAAGATCAACGAGCAGCAGGTTTACTGACAAGAAGCAATCCAGGCCCGTGTTCGATGGAAAGAAAAATTCAAAGGCAGTGACAAACGGAAACAAAAAGCAGACTGGGGAGATAAGCGAGAAGAGTGAGGAGACTTCATCGAATACAGCAGGTATGGCTGAGCAAAATGTTACTGTAGAGAACCTAAGAGTGATCAGTGAAACTGATGAAAGAGTGACCTTAACTTGGAAGACCGTCAATGCCACGAGCAGCTCTGCAGTGACTGTGTTATACTCAAAGTATGGTGAGAAAGATATGTTGCCTCTGAGCACTGATTCTAGCAAAAACAAAGTCACAATTGATGGTTTGCAACCTAGTACTCAATATATGGCATGTGTCTCACCCAAAGGAGTGCCACCTACAAAAGAGCAGTGCATTATTTTCTCCACTGATAGGTTAAACGATGAAGGCAGCTCTCAGTTTTCTATTCTGATGTTGGCCAGCAGTGCAGCGTGTGTGGTTGTTTTACCTTTGATATTTTTCTTACTCTACAAAGTTTTAAAGCTTCGTGTGAAACCGAAAACTGCAAAGGAAGCTGACCTTGCAAAAGAGACCTATGTGAAATTTGAAACACTATCTCTGAAGCCTCGAACAGTGAACGCAGGAGAGCAGCTCTGGGCACGAAGGTACACAGACGAGTCGGAAAGGCTTCTCCTTTGTTCCAGGTCAAGCATGGATTCTCAAATGACCTTCAAAAGTGAGGGCTCTAGGTCTGAGTATCTGTGTTGAACATGCGTGAGGGTGAAGGAGGTGGAATATACAATAGGTAAAATTAATCTAAAATGATGATACTGCATCTGGAAGCAGGTTGGTGCTAGGTGGTCAGAATATATTATCTGATGTGATGAAGTCTACTGGATGGGTAGGGTGGTGAGCAGGAGGGAGAATAGGAGAAAAGCGTTGCCTGTTTATTTTCTTTTTTATGTTTGTGACTTTGGATGTGAAGGAAAGACGTTCTTCAAAAGATAAATACAGCATGAAATGGTTGCCTGGTTAAAGATCTTGTATTTTTTTTTTTCATTAAAACATCATTCTGGTTTGGTTTTTTTTTCCCCTCTCATTTTACTGTATCATGTGCTAGTTGCATGTATCAAACATTAATTACAACCTTCATAAAAACTATGTACTTAAAAAAAAATAGAACAGTTTACTTCTATTGAGGTCAAAACTTTATTTGAAAATACAAGTTTTCTTTTGACATCAGCTTGTGCTTTGAGATGTCATGCAGCTCTGTTTGTACAGTATTTTGGACTGGAAGTGATCTCAGGCCAACCAAGACTGAAGCTAGGTAGCCACAGCTTATGGACTCTTTAGAGGTACAATATGCATCATGTTGTCATTTTGCAGATGCTATGGCAAAAGAACTGCTTTAGTATTCTGAAGCCCAGGAAAGATACCGTTATGAGTGACTCTATGAGAGATACTACATGTTAATTATGATAATTTACATCAAATGATCCTATTGTAAAATCTCAGCCTTAGAATTTACTTGGATGCAAATGTCTATATACCTCAATTTCAGAAATCTCTGTACAGAAAATTTTGTGGTACTGTGTAATACAACACACATTCTTATATACCTATATATTACATAGATATTGCACAATATTATGTACTACACACTAGTAATATAATACCTTTTGAGGTACAGTAAGAGGAGGTCTTGTCCTCAGGTCTCATTGGATGTGTAATGAAGTTCAGTGAGCATAGTGAAAGCTAATTGTGAGCATGCTTCCCAGTGTGTAAAAAATCAGGTATTAATATTAATACTAACGATGAATGCAGAATTGCCTATTAATGAATTGTCTATTCTGAGCCTGCTTTATTATTGCCTGAAGTAACTATTGTTTTAGGTTCAGATATTATGGTTAGGAGTATGTATGAGTTGAGAACCACAGTTTTTCCCAAAAATTACAACTGCATTGTTTTCTTGGACCTTTCTGTGCATAGAAGAGCTGTTTGTTTTGCTATGAAATTGGGAATTTCTTTCCAGAGGGAGAAATATTACTCAAAGCTACAAACCAACGCTTAGTTAGTTAACTTTAAAATAGTGGCATTTCTTGGTATCACTAGTATAGCATTAAATTTTGCCTGCTGGAATGCTAGAGAGTTTGTCATGTAAGGCACAGTTTGGAGAGAGGAAAAGACTGTCAAAAAACTTCCAACATAAAATCGTGGCAGAAAACGAACACATTGAAAGATCTCCATAGCATTTACATGATGGTGCTCCATGGTCAGGAATAATAGAATGAGTATTTGAGACCGTGGGAGCTGTAGTAAGGAAGCGGGTGAGATGATCAAAAGTACAAAATTAGCTTACCTGCATATGCTTTTAGAATTAACCTTGCTGTTCCTTTCTGTGTTACTACTATCTGTGGTTAAAAAGCTATCTTCCTTCTTTTTCCATGGATAATTTTGATTGCAGTGAAAATGTTTTTAGTTTTCTGAATGGAATATTTTTGCTTTGTCAGTTCTTTAGAAATTTGGGATTTTTTAGGGAAAGCAGATTCTTTTTGTGTCAAGATCAAGGTTCATCTGACAAGCAGTTTATGATAAACTAGATTTTTAACAGGACTTGAAGTGTTACAATATTTGCCTTCTATTTTCCATATAGATAGTGTAGACAACAGTTGTTGCTGAAGGTGTTTCCAACTAAAAACACCATGTTTGTCATTAATGAGAGCAATTATTTTAACATTTATTTTTTAATTGCTGGAGAATATTTGATTTCAGGTTTCAAAGTTTTGCAAGAAACTTGAATCCAATTCTGGAGCTCAAAAGTGCTATCACCTGACTTGTAGATGACACATCAATATATAGGACTTAGGTGGTGCAAAGCTCGTTTGAGAGAGCTCACTTGCAAATGTGAAAACTTTTGGTTTGACTAATCCTTGTGGAATTAGCATGTCCTAAAGTTAGAAATTAATCTCCATGACCACGTGTGCTATCAGTATATCAAAGATGGAATGTATTATAAAGGGCATGTTCTTTCAAGAAAACATGAGATACATTTTTTTTTTTCCACAGTTCTTGAGAATAACAGCGTTATATAGCCCAGACACGCTGTCGTACCTCATGTCAAACAGCAAATTTGCTGCAGAATTTTGATAGGAATTTGATGCAAAAGCCACAACACAATAAAGACCTGTGCCCTGTATCACACAGGATTGGCTTCATTAAAGAGCTGAAGAAATACAGGTGCAAATTTTTATACTGTAAATTGTTAATATTAATGATAGAATCATTATGAGATAGGTTTTGTCACCTGTAATCGATTTGTATAGTATGCTCTGAAACGCAATACTGAATCAGTCATCACTACAAACAGTGATGACTGTAATCTATATTTGCCTGGTAGAAGAATTTGGAGAGGATTTAAGCAATGTTTATGCATCGCCTTTCATATATTTTGCACTTTGTTAGCCCGATTCATCTTGCATTTCACCAAAAAGGTTAGACTTCTTTTTATACATTACCTACAATGGTGTGTCAAAATTGGTTGGTTAATGAAATAACTGAGTAATGTGACCTGAATTCCAAATAGACCTCATTTTAACTTAAAGCTTTAGGGACCCTCAGCACTTGTCATAGCTAACCGCAATCCTGGCTTCAATGTGCAGTTACTAAGCCAAACTTTAGGCATCCATGTATCTATTCTCATCCTTGCCATGGATCACAGTGCACTTTGTATTCCTTGCACTATCATCAGATTCTCATACTTTTCTCAGGTGGGGGATTAAGAGAGAAGACTCTTCTGTGTGTACCATAAAATGTCTGTAATAGCAAAAACATTCAGACTTGGGCTATAACTAAGAGGCTAAATAAAGGACATTTAAAATTCATTACCTTTTCAAAGATGTAATTAAAATAGAAGTTGTTTTGATGTGAAAATAAAAGATTGTTTTTATACTTGACTATGTGTTTGCCTGACCCTTTCATCTTTGTTCATAGCTTTAGACAATATGTGATGAGTGTAGCTGTGGGGACAAGAGGAAATCTGAGAAGAAATAAGAGAAAATACAAAAAGAAGGCTGAGAATCAATGGAAGGGTAATATCCTAGAGAATAATGGGACTGCATGCCACATAGTCTTTTGCTTGCAATTCTGCTATGTACATGGCAAGGGTGCTGGGGTGTCTGCAGACATGTAGCTATAAAAGGATGGATGGAGCGTGTCCAGAGAAGGGCAACGAAGCTGGTGAGGGGGCTGGAGCACAAGTCTTATGAGGAGCGGCTGAGGGAACTGGGGTTGTTTAGTCTGGAGAAGAGGAGGCTGAGGGGAGACCTTATTGCTCTCTACAACTACCTGAAAGGGGGTTGTGGCGATGAGGGTGTTGGTCTCTTCTCCCAAGTAACTAGCGATAGGAGGAGAGGAAATGGCCTCAAGTTGCACCAGGGGAGGTTTAGATCGGATATTAGGAAAAATTTCTTCACCGAGAGGGTGGTCAGGCATTGGAACAGGCTGCCCAGGGAGGGGGTGGAGTCGCCATCTCTGGAAGTGTTCAAGAAACGTGTGGATGTGGCACTTCAGGACATGGTTTAGGGGACATGGTGGTGCTGGATTAATGGTTGGACTTTATGATCTTGAAGGTCCTTTCCAACCTTAGTGATTCTGAGATACTGCCAGCTAATTGCAATGAGCGGAGCTCTATACATGCCCAGTTTCGACTAGGTGGGGGCAGCTATAAAACTGGAGTGTGGAACAAAGGCATCAGGGGAATTTGAGGAATGTACTTGAAGCTGGTCTTAAAGCCTACCTGTGTCCCAATGAAAGTTGTGAGAGCTTTTTGAAGAACATCATTGCCTGTAAACCGAAAAGGAGGGAGTGTGTAGTTTATGCATGTATTGCAAGAAAGAGGGGTATGCATCAGTAGCAATTCTGGCTAGGATGTAAATCCTAGACATAATATACAACAATAGTCCATCATGATCTATAGTTTTCTTCTAAAAACAACCAATTTGTTAGATTTGTGGCTGGCAGGTAGACCAACTTAAATTTCCTTCATGAACATAGATTAGATTTCAAAATTAACCTTTTTTTAATTATCTGACTAGATGTAGACTGGAAACTTACTGAGCTGGATGCCTTCTCTCATGGAATTCATTGCATTGTTCTAGGTGTTACGGTCAGCCACAGAAGCTCCAGGCTTGCACTGTCACTTTCCTTTGTTGAAAATGAGAAGTTTTTAATAGAATAGGTGCTTTTTGTTTACTTTTTAAATCACTGCAAAAAATTTTCCTCTGAATTTCAGAAGATCAAAATTCTTATCAGACTGGAGGCATGATTAATGTGTCGTTTTTATAAACTATTTTTTATAAATCTGAAAGGCTCCCTTGTTAAACAGTGGCAAAATCAAGCTGAAATATCAGTCTGAAACAGCCTGTAGCATGGAGACAATTCTTTTTACAAAGCTATGTTCATTATTCATCAGTATTCAGGATGGGAATCTTTTAAATCAGTAAGGCAGAAAGCAACTATGAAAGAAAGGATATCAGCTTTCCCAAGATCTAAGTAAAAAGATGCACTTTTTTCCAAGTTTCTATTTTTTATGAGATAATATCCTAACCTTGTGCTTAGAAAAGAATGTGAAATTGCTCCAATTATTGCAGCAAGTTCAGTAGCACCTGTCAGGTACATATTTTAAATATATTTCCTCTCACAAGGCCTGGTATTTTTGAAAGACATTTGATTGGCTTAAGAGTGTTGTGAAAGGAGTTGACTTTACAAAC